GGAGCCGACCCCCAGCCCCCGCTCCTCACCGGTCCCACCCCCTCGCCTGGCACCCCCAATTTGTACCTGAGCAGCCCGAGCCCGGCACGGCTGGGACTCCGCGGGAGCGCGCCCAGCCCTGCGCCCGGATCCAGGGCGCGTCAACCTGACTCCGGGAGCGCAGGAAGGAAAAGTTGGGGAGTGACGTGCATATGGCGAATGAAGCGCCCGAGGAGAACCGCCCCCGCCCCGGGTCGCGCCGACCCACCGCAGCTCGAGCCTGGAATGCGAGATCAAGGCATGTGCTTCGCCCTGCTGGGGGTTTGGTTCCCGGGGCCTCTCTCCTTCCGAGTAAACACGGTTTTGTGTGGTGCAGTGTTTGCAAATAGAAAGCACACTGCAACGCCCGAGGCCGCCGGCGACACCCAGCCAGAGACGTTTGTCATGGCCCTGTCGGTCTGGAGCCAGCCCATACATTGATATTCAAGGCCACGGCGCCGGTGGGCTCTGTGACCTCTGTTGTCTCTGCTTCCGGCTAAGGCGCTCCTGGCTCCTGAGCACGCCCGTTGGCTGCTCCGAGGTGCAGCGGCTCTGGGGGACCACCGCCTGCCTGCTGCAGTGACCCCAAGGCGGTGCTCCCGGGAGGTCGAGTAAGTGGCCCCAGAGCATGGCTTCAGGATGCTGGACTGAGATGCCACCTCTCAAGGAAACGACACTGAATTCTGAAGACTCGACCCGCTCAGAGGCCCAAACCCATCTTCTCAGGAAACTGGCACAGGACAGAATAGGGCCACTATCTCTGGTCACGCAGCCCTTTGCCCGTCCACGTCCCTGTGGCCACAGTCCAGCACCTTTTATCCTCAGAGACGAAAGTCAGCACAGAACCACAGGACTTTCTGTCGCACGCTCTCCCCTTCCTCTTTTCCTCTTTCCATCTCACCCCTAGAAGCGACAGCTCACCCTGGGGTTTAACGTCTGTTCACATCCAGGGGACTAATGCAGGGGTCACAGTCAGAGAATTATAACTGCAGATGGGAAGCCCAGGGGAGAGGGGTGGAATTTCTTCAAAACTGTATCTTGTTGGCCTGCAAATAATGCCTCTTACATAAAACCCACAAAGAAAGATTAATGCAGCAAAGAGACCAGCCTTAGACTCTCAGACTACATTGCTTTTTCCATGTAGACGCCATGGGTGATTTTTGTTCGTTATTATTTTTTTAAACAAAAACCTTTTTCTGAAAATACAATGAGCTGCTTTCTGCAGGGTTCACAATTCCCAATAGATGATGATGCCATTTTTCAAGGTCTTACACTCGTTGTGGCTTTGGGGCTTATTTATGAGCTCCCGAGGAAAGCCTGCCTTTCAGTGAGGTTTATATACTCAAGTAATTGCGTCGGGGACACTGTGCAGGGTGCTGTGAAAGAGAGCTGGTTGTCGATGCGTCTGCAGGGAAGGCCCCGGGCCAGGCAGCTGTCAGGCCAGAGTGTGCCATGGGTTTAAACAAACACAGGGAAGGTTCTATGGAAACACCAAGGAGGAAATCCCCCTCCCGTAAGGACACGTGGAACGTTACTCCTCAGCCGCACGGCCTTCCTCTCCTCCCTCCGAGTAAACACTTGACTCCCTCATGGAGATGGCCCTGGGCCCACCGGATCACTTTCAAATTTGGGTGTCAGAAATCACGGCTGATGTGGAGCAAATTGTTTTTAAGTAAAATCGCCGCACCGCTTTGATACAGTTCCACCAGGGACTCTCCGAGGGTGTTTGTACACGTGCCTGAGATTAACGGGAGGGCGATTTTTCCCCTCCACGTCAGTTTTGAAAAATTGCCCAAGAATTGCCCTGTGCCTGTTATTCTGGAGAATTGCAAGGACACCCAATGCCAGACGTGTGTCAGTGAGCGGGTGGACGGACAGATGGACGCAGACTGTGGGAGTCTGGTGCCAGTGTGACCCTGGTACTGAATGTGTGGGAAAGGTAGTTAATTTAAGAAAATAAATATCCTCTCCTCGTGTGCACACTGGGGTCTCTATAAATGTGGAGTCCTGGCGCCTGGGTCCAGCCTCCTTGGCAAGTCACTGCTACCTGTGCTGAGTTGGGACCTTAGAATGGCGCCTGCACAGTGGTCGGGCTCGAGTTGGTTCCGGGTGATGGATTTCTACACCTTGCCAAGGCCACACAGTGCATGGATTTCTCTTCTCCATTCCTTGGCTTTGGACCTGGACATTTGACTTGCTTACACGGTGGGGCTTTCAGGAACGCGGCCTAGTCAGAGGCTTGAATATATTGCAGACTGGGCTTGCTCTCTTGGAGAGCTCTGGTGTAATGAGATGTGTCCCAAGGAGTGACCCCCGTTCCGGAGTGAACGCTCCTGGAGCCACGTCACACCACCTGCAGCCACGTCACCCCACCTGCAGCCACGTCACCCCACCTGCAGCCACGTCACCCCACCTGCAGCCACGTCACCCCACCTGCAGCCAGGCTCCAAGCTCCGTCATTCCTACAGACACCTGAGCCAGAGGAGGACACGCCGGCAAGTCAGTGCTGCCAGAAGCTTGTTCCAGCAGTAGCTGACACATGACCTCGGTGGGCATGTGTGAAGATTCCAGACAAAATGCCTGAAATACACTAAGCACCGCTCCTGGGACATAGTCAGAGTTCAGAAACATCAGCCACAATTAGACACCGGTGATACTAAATGAATGTATTACCGCAGAAGGGGTCTGTGAAGACATTAGCAGAAATGGGGGTGAAATTTCAATTCACCTTCACTTTATCCCCGAATTTGAGGCTGTTTCCAAGAGAGGGGTGGACGCGGGCGCAGGTTGCTCTGCTGGGGTGGGGGTTCTGCATTTGTGGGGGCGCGGGTGTGGGCCTGGGGATCAGGCTCTCAAATTCATTTGGAGGGGAATCTGGCTTCGAATCTCTGCCAGCAGCAACGGCCTGCGGCCCGCAGCCCTGTGGCTCTGACAAATCCAGACCACGCGGGAACCCGAGGGCATCTCCGTTTCGTTACTTCAGACATGTTCGGGTTCAACAGCTCCCGCCGCAAGCACTTTAAGCCAATTTTGGTATGTTGATCCATCGCAAATCGACGTGAAAGTTAGGTTCTTGTGAAAATGTCAACACTTGGTCCAAAACCTCTACCAGATTTAAGATGATAATACCAGTTGGTTCCTTACATCTGCAAACTTTAACTCTGCCCCAAGGGTTCATGAAGGGGCCAGTTTTCAGCCCCTTTCAGTTTGAGCATCTGGCTCACCATTCACACATCTGCTCTAAGGGTTCCCGGGAAGGATTCGGGGCTCCACTTAGCAGAGCCGCCTCCTGAGAAGACAGGTCTGCCATCTAAGTGTGCGAGGCAAAGAGCCCAGCGTGGTGGCCTGGCTTGCTCAGCGACCTGGCCATCAGACGTCGTCCCAAAGGATTCCCTGTGTCTTACAATCAAGTGGCCTCCCCACGTATGAAGACTGGGCACCCTAAAAGCAGAGGCAGAAACCTCGACGAAAATGACGCGCGGGCACCGGTGCTGGCAGTGACCTCGGCATCCGCGGAGGCGCACCCCTTTCTTCCGCGGTGTCTGAGGCCAAGAGTGAGTGTGTAGCCTGGCATCGGCAGTCCGGGAGCCCGTGGTAATGAAAGAGACATAAAACGTCACTGTAATCACGCCCAAGACGCTGCTGCGGCCCATTGCGGGCGGCCAGCGCCTCTGAGCGAGATGTTTCAGCTGCATAACAGACATTTCGCCAATAAAATAAACTTGACGGCGGGTGGTGTTTTCTCTTACCTGCTTCTCTCACAAGGCCTGCAATCCCCCCAGCAACACAAATGAGCTGCTGCCTTGGAAGACGTAGCCCAGCCTCGCCCACCGTGGACGTGAATGCCCTGCGCCTTCTGAGCAAGTTGCTTGTCCTGGTTGAGTGTCTTCGACGGCTGCGTGTCCCAGAGAGGCCCGGGGCAGGGCAGGAGACGCCCGCAGAAACTCCAGCGGCTGTTCCTGGCCTGGGGACTCCGACCTCCTCACCCCGCCACCCCAGCCCTGGGATGTCCCCACCAGGCACCTGCCCACCGGCCGGAGCAGAGGCCTCAGCGTCACCTTCAGCTCTGGCTCTCACCGGACTCCCGGGAGCCACCGTCCCCTCCTTCTCCCCAGCCCGGCTGGTCGCAGGAGCCTGGGAAGTGCATTTAATGCACGTTCTGGGTGTGGGTACCAGACACTCCATTCCGGTAGGTCTGGGTGTGCCAGGAATCCGAATCTCTGGGGTGGGCCTGGGGACCCATGTATTTAACAAGCTCCCCCAAGGTCACTGCGAGTTTAGGCCCATGTCGCCCTTCCCTGGGGACAGATGTAGGGAACCCCCACCAGCGGGTCCTTGCTACAGCCAGGATCTTTCCAAAACACGAATTCCATCGGGTCACCCCCATAATTAGACAGCTGTCTGCCCCTCCCAGGCACCCACAAGGGACGCTGGCCCACATGGTGGCACTTTGGCCAGGCTTCTTCTCCTGCCAGGCTAAGAGGAGACCGAGCTGGCTTCGGTCTCCGGTCAGACACCAGACTGGAAGAGGTTACCAGCGGGTGCTCAGCCACGGCAGGACCTGGGCTCCGAACCCATGGCCTCGTCAGCGGAACCAGGAGGAGGACACCTCGAGGCCGGTCCACTGATTCAGAGCTGAGTGGCAGCCAGTGGAATTTTGGGCCAGCAGTGAGGTCACACCTCTTGACTTCCTGGCACCTCTCAGAAGGCTGGTCTTCAACCCACCCAAGGGAGAGCAGGAAGATGAGCAGAACACCTGACGGCAGAGCTCACAGGGTGGGAGGGGGAAGGGGAAGGGTGAGGAGGCATGGGGGGGCCGAGGAGGGGGCGAGGGGAGGCAGAAGGGCCGGGGCCCCCCAGCCTTGCTGCTACGCAGACACAGGGACGAGGCCGGTCACCCACCCTGAGCTGGTGCCAGGCCCTGACGAGAACTTCACATCTCAGGCTGCTGCAGCGGAGGGCCCTGGGGCTGGCGATGGGGCCCACACGCCCGTCCACAGAGGCAACTGGGCCCAGCGACGGCTAGATGGGGCTCGGGAGCAGGGAGCTGAGTTTCCTCGTGAAATTGTCCAGTTTACAAAGCCATCTCGTACGGCAGCTCAGTCAGAAAAGCAAGTGGCTCGTGTAGTGGGTGCCACGTCCCTGAGACGCAGGCATGACGTCTCCCTCGAGCTTTGGGCCTCTGGCTTTGGACACTCGACTCAGCTGGGCCCCGGAAGGCCCGCGAGGGGCTGAGACAGCATCACCCCATTGTACAGAGGAAGAAACTGAAGCTTGTGTAGTTGGCCCAAGGCACAGAGTTCCACAAATGGCTCAACAGGGGTCACTTGGGGGCCCCTCGATCTATACTTTGTGTGGGAACCCCCCACCCAGACATGGGCAGGAAGTCACCTGAGCACATTCAGGTGGGTTTCCATTTATGTATTTGAGCGTGGGCTTGGGGAGGCGGCCATTTCTGGCTTCCTCCCTTTGTTAGCTGGCCCAGGCCAGCTGTGTCCATAGGCCAGCTGTGTCCATAGGCCAGCTGCGTCCTAGGCCAGCTGCGTCCTAGGCCAGCTGTGTCTGACTTCTGGTGGTTCCCGGGGAGGGACAATTCTGGGTGGGAAGATCTTGAGAACAAAGAAACCAAGAGGGACAAGGAGAGTTCCTGAGTCTTGAGATGTGGCCTGGGGTCCCTCTCTCCAGACCCTGGAGGACCCCAGGTCTCAGCACCGAGATGAGGAGGACCTAGACATCCCTGGTCCTGGTCCCTGTCCACCTCCCATGCTTGCCCGGGTGTGGCCGGTGAGGGGGGGAGGGCTGACGATGAAGCCCCCACTCTCCTTCTCCGCTCCGGTCACAGGCCCCCTCCCCAGTCTGGGTGACCCAGAGGGGGTGATGGCACATTCTGAAACCAGCTCCAGGGGGCTCCCCTCCCGCCTCAGAAGCCCGGGACTCGGAAATCAATTCCCTCGCTGTGCGCCTCAAAAGCCCTGAGCAGTGCCCCCCGCGATGCCCACCTTGGCAGGGTGCGACTTGCCGCCCAGAGTCATTACTTCTCAGGCTGTGATCGAGCACTCCCCAGAGGGGCCGTTGTAAAAACAATTATGGCTTCTTTCAATTGAGCCAGAGAGCTGAGCGATATTTGAAGAGTCGAAGGATC